ATGACGTTCACGACTACATACAAAAAGCAGAAAAAGCCAGACAGCTGGCACGATATCGCATTCTCCAACAGCAGAAAACCGACACGTATCGATACAATCTGCGAAGAAGAAACGTCCAGTACGCACTATGGGTGTGGATTCCTGTACGAAAACGTGGCCTGTCAGAAAAACTGCTTCGCCGCTATTTCGGTCCGTACAGAGTGCTCCGCCGCGTCGGCTCGCTCAACTACGAAGTTATGCCAGAGGGACAGGATATTTCATCCCGACGGTGGCATCGCACGGAAACTGTGCATGTCGTCAGGATGAAACCATATCACGACAGTCAATGAAACGCCGAAGATACAACGTTCTTTGACGTTAACGACGTCCCCGACGAGGGTTTGTGAATGACTGCCATGCAACCAGTTCGACACAAGCATCGGGACGATGAACTCTGGAAAGGGGGGAAATAACACAATGTGACTTCAAATTACGCGCGCTAGCCGATACTTGTGCCGTCTAGATGGTTTGCGACGCACGAGCCTGCGGGACCCAGCTGCGCGCGAACCATGTTAGAAAAAAAGAACGTAGAAGAAGAGGCAGAAGTTAATCCTCGAGACAATCTAGCTGAGTTATTATTCTCGGGCACAAGTTCGCCCTGGCTACGTTAGCCTATTAAAAGAGTTCATTGAAGAGTGCATTACAATATATATAGCAATCCAATCGAACGTGTTCATTGAAACATCACAAAGTTTTCTTCAGAGGATGGATGGATGGTGGATGGATGGATGAATATGGCTGTACCCTTAAGATCGGGCGGTGGCTAGCGCCACCAAGTCATAATACTTAATGAACCCAAAACTATATTTATTTATTTTTTTCCTTAAAAAGTGAGTTTGAGGATTCGCACTTTGCAGTGAAGAGTTTAATTTTCACTCGTGCCTTGACTTTAGCCACCAATCAGATAACCTCCTTCTAGTTAAGTCTACTTGCTTAAAGTCTATTTTTTGCCCCGCCGCGGTGGTCTAGTGGCTAAGGTACTCGGCTGCTGACCCGCAGGTCGCGGGTTCGAATCCCGGCTGCGGCGGCTACATTTCCGATGGAGGCGGAAATGTCGAGGCCCGTGTGCTCAGATTTGGGTGCACGTTAAAGAACCCCAGGTGGTCAAAATTTCCGGAGCCCTCCACTACGGCGTCTCTCATAATCATATGGTGGTTTTGGGACGTTAAACCCCACAAATCATCATAAAGTCTATTTTGCCCTCCCGGTCCCTAAACCCCAGTGCTTTGAAAAACTCTGCGCCATCATCCTGAACTATAGGGTGAAGCCCTTTACAGAACAGTATCAAGTGTTCGGCAGTTTGTTCTTCCTCTCCACACGCACTGCATACTGTGTCTACCCCTTCGTATTTGGCCCGATATGTCTTGGTTCGCAGTACTCCCGTCCTTGCCTCAAACGGTAGAGAACTACCCCGAGTATTATCATAGATCCTTTCCTTGGCCATTTCCTGCTTAAAAGTTCGATAGATCTCTAGTGCGGACTTCTTAATCATGCCCATTTTTCACATGTCAGTCTCCGTTTCCTTCACTTTCTTCTTAACCGATAGTTCTTTTTGGTTTGGCCACCTGCTGTTTTCTAAGTATTTACCAGTCAACTTCCTGGTTCGCTTCCTCCATTTTGTATCGACATTTTTCATGTACAAGTAGCTGAAAAGCTTCCTAGCCCAACGCTCATCCTTCATTTCTCTCAATCGCTTCTCAAATTTTATCTTGCTGCTAGCTTCCCTGACCTCAAATGATGTCCATCCCATACCACCTTGTACTCCCTGATTTGGTGTATACCCGTGAGCTCCTAAAGCAAGTCTACCTATTCCACGTTGCTTAATTTCTAATCTTGCTTGAACTTCTGATCTCATGCACAAGACCGCATTGCCGAACGTCAGCCCAGGAACCATGACCCCTTTTCATATTCCTCTCACAACATCATACCTATTGTAATTCCACAGTGCCCTATTTTTCATCACTGCTGCATTCCTGTTACCTTTAGTCGTCACGTATATTTCGTGTTCCCTCAGGTACTCGGTCCCATTGCTTATCCATACGCCCAGATATTTGTATTTATCTGTTGTCTCTAGCGTGACCTCCTGTATTCTGAGCTCACTACCTCCGTTGTCATTAAAAATCATGACTGCTGATTTTTTCTTACTGAATCTAAAATCTAACCTATTTCCCTCATTACCGCAGATGTCCATCAATCTCTGCAAATCTTCCTTGTTGTTGGCCATTAGCACTATATCATCTGCGTACATTAATGCTGGTAGTGCCTGATCAATAGGTTTTCCTTGTTTGACTAAAGAGAGGTTGAATCCCAGCCCACTTCCCTCTAATTTTGCCTCTAATCCTTGTAGGTACATCATGAATAATAAGGGTGACAGGGGGAACCCCTGCCTAAGCCCCCGTTTTACCTCTGCAGGCTTGGATACCTGTTTTTTCCACTTTATAACTACCTTGTTACCTTTATAGATACCATTTAAAAGATTAGTGACTACATGTTCCACGCCTAGTGTGTCCAGTATTCCCCACAATTCCTCTTGAACCACGCTATCGTACGCTCCCTTGATATCCAAGAATGCTAGCCACAGGGGCCTGTGTTCCTTTTCTGCTATTTCGATGCACTGCGTCAGTGAGAACAGATTGTCTTCCAACCTCCTGTGTTTCCGAAACCCATTCTGCAGTTCCCCCAGCACCCCCTCATCTTCTATCCATGCCTGCAGTCTTTCCTTTATAATCTGCATCGCCAGTTTGTAGATCACTGCTGTCACTGTTATGGGACGGTAGTTGTTTATGTCTGCTTTGTCCCGCTTTCTTTTATAGATCATGCTCATCCTGCTAAGTTTCCATCCATCGGGAACTTCAGCATCGATTATTATTTTGCTCACTGCCTCTCTCAAAGCCTGCTCAGACCTCGGACCTAATGTCTTTATCAGCCTAACTGGAATGCCATCTGGGCCTGTTGATGTACTACTAGGAACCCTTTTCTCAGCCATTTCCCACTCTCGTTGTGAAAATAGAGCCATTGCACGACTTGATTCGTCCTTGTCTATTGTGGTGCATAAAGTACTTCTTTGTTGAAATTTTTCTGTCACCCTTTTCTTATATATTCAATAGCTTCGTCCCCTTCTAGCCTGGCACCTTGGGCTGTAGTTATAAAACTCTGCTCTAGGCTCGTCTCATTTCTCAGAGAGTTTAGATGGTTCCAAAATTTCGTAGCTGCCTTTGTATCTTTTTTATGTACTTCTGCCAGCCACTGAGCTCCCTTTCTTCTAATCTTTTCATTGATCAGGAGGTATGCAGCTCTTCTACAGCTTAGAAAGGTTTCCCATTTTCTTTCAACATCATCTGTCGGTTCACCCCGCTGCTTAGCATGTCTGTGTTCCCTAGAGGCTTCCTGACGTTTTGCTATGGCTCTCTTAACTTCCTCATCCACCAACTTTTGGTTTTGTGTCTTCTTTTCCGGGGTGACTTGTTACGCGTCTTAGCAAGCTCTAGCTCAAAGAGTCTAATTAGATTCGTGTATGTCCGCACTGTCTTATTATCCTCCGTGATTACTTTCTCAATTTGTTTATTGGCTATTTCAATTTGCCTTTCTGAATAAAAATTTTCCGGTAGTTGCTCATTTTGTCTCCTTCCCACTTTCACTGCTCTTCCAAAACTTAGCTTGATACGTTTGTGATCACTACTCAGACTTCTGGGGCCACCTTCATCTATGTGCATTCCCCTGAGCTTATCATACATCCTATGTGACATCAGTGGATAATCTATCGTCGACTGCAGCCTTCCTACCTCCCATGTTATTTGCCCTTCACACTTAGAGACGAAGGGACCATTGCGACATCTGGCGGAGCAGATATGCGCTTCTATCTTCGTGGCCTCTCAGATTCTCTTCAATAGTGCGACAAAACAAAAACTTAACCGTGGGTATTAGTGTATGAAACTCCAAGACACCATTTTGTTGTCGCTCCTTCTGGCTTACTACCTCACGCGTCTTCCTCTTTTCTACACCTTTACTCCTACCCCTTTTATCCCTCCTCACCCCCATTCCTTGTGAGCTACTGTTGAGGTGTCGCTCACTGAAGCAGACAGTTACGGGGCTCACTTTTCTCTTTCTTTCTCTCTTAAGAATCACCTTCTCTAAGACACCATGGCACACAAACTCCGTGGTGTTAATTGCACTACTAGCAACTATGGCAAGCCTCTTACATGGCCCGCTTATGGCCCGCCTTTTATAAGTTTTGGACAGGACAGCGGCTGAGACGTTAAATATATTGCCGTGCGTGTGTGTGTGTGGGGGGGGGGTACATGCGTGTGTTTGTGTGTGTGTGTTTACGTGTCCGTGCTTGTGCACGTATGTATGTACATGCGCACGTGTGTGTGCTTGTGTATTTATGTGTGAGTGAGTGTGTGTTTGCGTATGCGTACGTGTTTGTGCGCGCGTGCATGTGTTTATGTGCGTGTTTGTGTGCGTGTTTGTGTGGTGTGTATGTGTGTGTGCGTATGTGTTTCTGTGTGTCTTTGTGTGTGTATGTGTGAGTGTGTGTTGCGCATGCATGCGTGTCTGTGTATGCGTGTGTTTGTGCGTGCGTGCATGTACATGCTTGCGTGTGTGTGTGCGTGTTTGTGTATGCGTGTGCTTGCGTGTGTGTATGTGCGCGTATGTGTGTGCGTGCGCGCGTATGTGTGTTTGTGTGCGTGTTTTTGTGCGTGTGCTAGTGTGTGTGCATGTGCGTATGCGCGCGTGTTTTGCGTGTGTGCGTGCGTCTTTGTGTGTGTGCGCGCTTTTGTGTGTTTGTGTGTGTGTTTGCGTGTGTACGTGCACGCGTATGTGTGTTTATGTGTCCGTGCGCGTGCGCGCGCGTGTTGGTATATGCGTGTGCGTGCTTGTGTGTTTGTATGCGCGTGTGTGGGTTTGTGCGTGTGTGATCATGTGTGTGAAGAGAGAGAAGTAGAGGATCCCAAACTTACCGAGGAGACTCCCAGCTGGAACTTATCGACACGGTGTTGTCTGGCTGGACCCAGGATGCCACCGAGTTCCTCCAGGCTTGTGACGTTAGCGCACGTAATCCATACTTGATTGCGCGACTGGTTGTTTGGCGTGCGATCGTGCACAGTGCAGTTGCAAGGTCCATCTGGCTGCCCAAATTTCGCACAGTCCAACGGAAGCCAATACGCCGTCACCACAGACATGACTGAGACAAGCGACAGCACGACACAGGCGCCATGTCGCCCCCATGTGCTACTAAAAGAAAAAAATAAGCCTCATTACGAGAATTCACACGTCGACGCATTTTATGTTATATGTGCCATAATACCAGCTCCTATTTTTATCATCCAAAATTTTGACGAACTCATAAGAAAAGGTAATGAAATGATTGCTCCACTCGACAGCTGTTCGAAACCAAATGCACTTGAAAGTATTGTTACTAGAACGAAAGTGATCATTTCCTATCCTAAACGTAAAAGTGTAACGTCTTACAAATCCTTGACATATATAGCTGCAACAACATAGAAATTGTACCAGCATTTAAAACCCTTGGTGTTTTATTTACAGAAAAGTTTATGTAGGATGTGTCTCTCGACCACGTGTGTTTATTTGTCTCGCACTTTGTTGGTCCCTTATACCGGAATGACAACGTTCTTCTAGGTAACATCAAATGGTTGCTTTTCAGATCTTTGTTTATGTCACAAGCGAATTATAGTATAGGGAAGAAGGCTTTACGCATAATTTATAACTGAGCCGGAGACCATTCTGTGCAGCTTTTCCAAGCTGCTGATACCCCATTGGTCTTTATCATCTGTTAAGTTGGAAATTCGTCTAGGCAGACGCCATTGTGCGTAAGCCGGTCTACTGGGGAGGCTCTCACGCTGTCGAAGATTTGAGCGATTACCCAGACCATGTGGCAAGCGAAGGCGAGTTCCTGACTTTCAACTTCAGACCCTTTCGTCGTCTCTTCGAGCAGAAGCGGTGACTGATGCCCTCGGCGACTCAACTGGCGATGGGGAAGCTGTTGTGACCGGCGCCAGAGCTGACGGGGGAGCGGCGCTCTTTTAATCCTCAATCACGTAGCCGACCGGCGGGCTGCCTATGCTCGCCAGGCATTGTCCCTGCTAGCCCGAGGGTGAGACGTCGTGCCGCCACGACGCCGTTAACCGTTGAAGAGAGGACAACAAAGACAGTATCTTCCTTGGAAGAGACCGTGGCGGCCGCCGCAAATCGCCCCGCTAATTAAGCGAACAAATTGGCGGACCCTTTGATGTATGCTGTCAGGATCGTGGGACCTCTCGGCTAGCGGCACACACACGACGAGGAAGAGCCCTGCTGGCGCCACCTTGCAGTGCAGTGATCACGACTCAACATTGGACGTGCACGTGGACCTTGCATGCTCGTCCCCCTCACCTGTTGTGTGTGTGTGATTGGTGTTCCACTCGGAGAGGAGGAGCCCGACAGGGCTTAAAACGACGCCGCACAGTGCTGGACGTCGCTCTGAACCATGTAACGGTTCAACCACCACGCTCGTGGTTTGTGAAACCACTACCCTTCTTTGCTGTAAATACGTGTAAATAATGCCATAAACCTGTTTGTTTTTCGTATCCTCTTCTTGTCAGCGTTCAGTTCCTCCACCCGGTTACACCATGCTACCACAAGAGACCGGGAAGTCCCCCATTCCCAACAACGGTTGGCAGAGGTGGGATGCCATCATCAGCAACTTCCTCCAGCTACCTTCCTTCCGACCCTTAACAATACCAATAGTCCGCTATATATATATATATATATATATATATATATATATATATATATATATATATATATATATATATATATATATAGCTCGAGCCCCTGCTGCACAAACGATGCTTCTGTCCATGCGCCGATCTACATTCTCTTCATTACAACACTTAACTTACGGCTTGTTCTTAGATATGAATACGTAATAAATAACATTCCGATGTTCGCAGATTTAGCAGAGTTAGCCGAGTACTCGTCTTTGTATCTCTTGTGGCTCATGAAAATGTTCAAAATAACAACAGCACGCACAAACAAAATACGGCACCCAGATGTAAAGAATGAGTTTTCTCTGTTTTAAATATCATATCGAAAATGCTTTAATGTCCCTTGTTGTAGACCTGCGCGTTTGCTTTCTTCGTGAGCTGATATCTCAAATGAGTTTTCGAGTTTAGTGCTTAATGCAGTGTTTTTATTTTCTCGTCCTTTTTTCTCGTTTAATTGAGTGCACATGTTGTGTTCTTTCGGTGATCATGTGCAAGAATAACGTATGCCCTCTTGGTGCTTTTATATACTTATGAGCGCTAGTTTTTGTACACCGCTACTGCTTGCTGAACTGCAATCGGCTGGGAAGCTTAGTCAGGCTCACATGGGATTTCTCTGTGCCCCCTGCCTCCTCAAGTGGTAAATAAATTTATTTATCGATCGATCGATCGGTTGATTGATTGATTGACTGATTGATTGCTTGACTGCTGTCGGAGTATATTCAACACACGTGAATCAAAGGCAGTCAATTTTCGCTAGCCATAATTAGGGTGCCTAGAAGGTGGAGGTGTGCGGAGCACCGCGCGTTACCCTTGCCATAGAGGGCTCCTTTGCGCACCGAAGCCCCTAGGGGCGCTGCTGCAAGGGCCGCTGCATGGCACAGCTGCCTCAATCGCAAATTACCCGAAGGAACTTGGGCCTCACGCGCAACAGTGTGGCCTCCTCCTCCCCCCCCCCCCATTTTTTTCGTAGTTCACGTGGTTTTTATTATACGTGGATCATACATTTTTTTAGCAGTACGAACGAAGAAAGCTTAACGTTCTGGCTTCATTTCTGACTGCAAGTTTGCGTGCAGGTAGGCGTGTGTAAAAGTTCTAAAAGCTCGAATAACAAATCGAATGATATTCTAGTCGATGTTACTCATGAATCAAATGGAAAATATTTGAAATGCCGAGTATTTTTTTTTTCATTTATTTAGCATTGGCGGAAAGACCCCAGAGAAGCGACACATATTAGAACAATATATAACTTATTTGTTTTAATCGGCGTAGTTTCATTTAAGAGGAGGGTACAAAGTGCCTCCTTTATTTCTGAAATTGCTGCTTTGTTTGAACGACCAGTTAAATTTTTTTCACTGACGGTCACTGCCTATACAATCTTACCCCAGTTAACCTAGCAATGGCATTTTTTGCCTGCAAAAATTATTCGTAACGATCCTTTCGTTATTGTCTCCGACTGTCGATTACAAATTAAATCTAAAATTGTCCTTTCACTATTCAATTATTAATGAATTTTTATTCTATTTATTGTAATTTATTTTATTTCATTCATATTCAATCCCATTCTTAAGTTGGCTATTCGCACAGCCCTATAGGTGCAGGTCGCCGACAGAAAAAGCATCTGTTCCGAGCACTGGCAGGCAATGAGCTGCTTGAGACATGACCTCATGTACGTGATAGCGGCGGAAGTTGATGCTGAATAGCCACCCACCTTGTCGATTGCATTGCGCGCTATATGTGACAACGGAGCATAGTGCTTGCATCAATTGAACTACGCAAAGCAGCTTGCCTGAACACCAAAGAAAGTGGCATTCCTATTCTTCCGGCGGAGGCGGGGGCATAGTGGTGGTTTCCCTTATCTGTGAGGTGGGGTGTGCCACTAAATTCAGTTCCTTGAGAACAAGCTGACCAGTTATTTAGACAGCTTGCGTCCACTTAGCCTGTTGCAGACACATAGAAAAATATTGGGCATGCATGTGTCGCAGGTCAGTTGCTCTGAGCTTGTCATTATGTTCGTGTGATCAGTCACACGCTTTTGCTGCTTAACTCGCGGAATTCATTTATGAAAGAAGTCAACAAGAAGGAACAACACGCGAGCTAAGCTGTGTGTTCTGTAGACTTCCCTTTATTGCACATATTAAAGACGCTTGTTTTTTATACGAACGTCCTTATTTTTCACTAATATGTTTTTGTCTTCATTTGACGAAACGTACACACGAAGTTTTGACCAGCAGCCAGGGGATAGCAACACGTGCAAAAGAGCAAGAAAGTTTTTAACAATAGGAATAGGAATTGAACATGACTTCTATAAGTTTCAAGGATGCATAATCGAAAATTTAAAAAAAAATGGCAGGACAGAAGCAAAAAAATTAGGGGACCCTAAAGCTTTGCCCTTAGGAGTTGAACACGATAGCGATATCCTGTTCCTAGTGCGTAATTCAAACGCTTAGTACATGAAACCTTTCCGAAGTCGCAGTAGCGTCTGTGCCTTTTTGCAGTGGGTGAGCGGCTTTAAACCACGAAGTCATCTTGAAAATCACATTTTCTCACGCCCGCTGGCAAGGGGCGCTTGTACCACGCAGTATTGTTGCAATATTTCATGTTGCATTTACAAACACACGTGTTCTAGGACGCGTGTGTTTGTTAAGCATGAAAGCTACTTTCACTGCATTTCCAAGCAGAGTAAGTTCTTTTCCCTGTACTCGCAAGCAGATAGGTGGCCATCTGGGGTAGAACATCCGCTTGCTACGCAAACGACCCAGGTTCGATTTCCACTCAGACCCAAGTGACTCTGATTCGGTCCGCATCAGGATTTCTTCATCGTTCATTTTATGCGCGTCGTTCTCGATTTTTTGTTCACGCATAAGATGATAATTTTTCACCCACAACCAACGACGCCAACGCCGGAGTTTTTGCCAAACGAGCTCTTTAACGCTGTAGGGTTAAAAAGACGGTGCTCAAATGAAGCGGCATGCCCGACATGCAACAACATAACTAAAGCGCACCGTCTAATCAGTATGCAGCCTGCTGCATAATAATGCACTTGAATGCATGTTTTTTTTTTTCAGAAAATGGGATGAAATCAACCTCTTATTATTGCACACGCTAAGGAAAAGTGATTAGGGTTTCAAAGCGTGGCTCGCAAAAAATAGCGCGAGCTACGTTCCTTGATCACAAGCAAGGTTGCGCTGTACGTCGTCTGCTCAACGCCACGCGCCCTGCATACAGCGCTCCTTGCGGCATCGGTACACTTTGGGGACCAGTTTTAGCGCGCGCTTGTCACACCTTCCCATTCTATCCACCCTGCCATAGTCATATAAAACGCAGTCGTAATATACATCAGCTGTCGGGGAACTTGCTTGATCACAGAAATGCTGTAGGCCCATGTGCTCAGATTTGGGTGCACGTTAAAGAACCCCAGGTGGTCGAAATTTCCGGAGCCCTCCACTACGGCGTCTCTCATAATCA